TCTACACCTTGTTTAGTCAATCTTAATCTCACGATCAAACGTGGCACGTTCGTAGGAGTTAAAGGTGCTGTCGGGGCAGGAAAATCGTCACTACTAGCTGCGATTCTCAGTGAAATCAATCATGTCGATGGGAAAGTCCTACTATCATTTGATTCTATTTCCTATGCGCCGCAAGTCGCATGGATCTACGCAGATACGATCCGAGCGAATATTCTTCTTGGAAAGCCAATGGACGAAGAACGTTACCAGACGGTGATCAGAGCTTGCTGTCTCGATATCGACTTGCAGAACTTCGGTGAAGTGGGTGACTTATTGATGATTGCTGATAAAGGAGTAAATTTGAGTGGTGGTCAGAAGGCTCGTCTGTCACTTGCTCGTGCACTTTATGCTGACGCCGATGTTTATCTACTCGATGATCCTCTAGCTGCCGTCGATCCAAAAGTAGCAAAGAAAATATTTGACCAATGCATTGGTTCACAGAGTCTTCTTCGTGGCAAAACACGAATATTGATTACACATCAAACACATTTCCTGATTGAAGCAGATCAAACGATCCTTTTGACGAATGGTTGCATTGAACAATTTGTTGTCGACCAAGCATCGACTGCTACGACGGAAAATCAATCAGTTGTGAGTGACGAAGCTGAATGGTCTTTGAACAGAGCGAAAGACGATGAATGTTCGGTTGTGAAAGAAGAAACATCTGTTGATGGTACTGTTAAATGGAATATTTGGTTTCAATTACTTACTGCACCGCCGCTACGTTGGTTTGGTTTGATATCTATGTTGATTGTTATGTTAGCTGCCGAAGGTTTGTTCGATTTTACAAACTATTGGCTTGCACTATGGTGTAGTAAAACTGGAAGCGAACAACGGTCATCGTTTTATGCATATGTTTATGCTGGACTAGCACTTGGAACATTAATTGTTGTATTAATGCGGTCTATTTATGTATTCTACATAATTCTATGCGGATCGACAGAATTTCATAATCGGACGCTTCGAGGAATTTTATACACTTCCATACGTTTCTTTGAAAGCAATTCAAGCGGACGAATATTGAATCGAGCGAGTAAAGATCAACAGGCATTGGATGAAGCACTGCCAGCAACTTTGGTTGATAGCATACAAAGCATTCTGATGACTGTTGGTGCTATCGTGATCATCGGTATGAACAATCCTTGGATTCTTCTAGTTCTTATTCCAATTCTACCTTCATTGGTCTGGTTGCGACAGTTTTATATACGTTCAAGTTCGCAACTGAAACGATTGGAAAGTATTGCACGTAGTCCGATCTATGCTCTGTTGTCATCGTCACTAGATGGATTGACCAGTATTCGTGCGTTTCATGTCGAAATGGATTTTTTGAACATGTTTACGAACAGAATAGATGCGCACTCGCGAGTTTTTTTCATTTTGTCTGTTGCTGCTGGTTGGTTACGTCTACGAGTTGATGCTGTTCTGTGTTTACTGATTTTAGTGACAACAGTTCTTGCAGTCGCATTGCGCCATCAAGTCGATCCAGCTGCCGCAGCACTTAGTCTAAGTTATTGTTTTAGTTTGACTGCTCTTTTCTCATGGGGTGTGAGAGCATCTGCCGAAGCAGAAAATCTTATGACTAGTGCAGAACGACTGCATGAATACGGCGAACTTGTATCCGAACGTTCTACAGATGGGAGCAATCAACCACCAAATGGTTGGCCTTCTCAAGGTGTAATTGAATTCAAAAACTATACGTTCCGTTATCGACTCGAACTTGATGCTGCATTGAAGAACTTGAATTTACGAATCGAATCCAAAGAAAAGATTGGAATCATTGGTCGAACGGGTGCTGGGAACTCATCGCTTCTTCAAGCTCTCTTNTCAAGCTCTCTTTCGACTTGCCGATCGAACGGCCGTCACAGGCACGCTTCTGATTGATAACATCGATATTAGTCAACTCTCATTAGACTGTCTTCGGTCCCGCCTGAGTGTTATTCCACAAGTACCAGTTCTCTTCTGTGGTACACTTCGATACAATCTTGATCCATTCGAACAACACACCGATGAAGAATGCCTCAGAGCGCTAGAAGATGTGCAACTCAAACAACTGGTATCCAACAATCCTGACGGTCTTCATCTACTAATAGCTGAAGCGGGTACTAACTTAAGTACTGGCGAACGTCAGTTAATCTGTTTAGCTCGAGCTATCCTGAAGAAAAGTCATATTTTACTCATCGATGAAGCTACGGCACACGTAGACTATGCGACGGATCGCATGATTCAAGAGATGATCGCTGACAAATTTCGTGACCGTACTGTTCTAACTATTTCTCACCGGTTGAATACCGTAGGTAATAGTGATCGTATTCTTATGTTACAACAAGGCGAAGTAGTGTATTTCGATGTACCAGATAAAATGCCTTGCTATGGAAATTGAAAATAAATCGTGATCTTCAAAAAAGCAGCCACGTACTAGTAAAAGTATAGAATCTTTCATGTTTTTTCCCGACTAAGGAACAAACACTAGTGTATCGATATTTAGTTGTCATATATCCACACATATCAAATGTGAGCATTAAAAATAGTATCACAAATCCAACTGTAACACGGACATGTGGTAGCAAGATGTAGCATATTACGAATCCAGTTGCATCCCAAAGACAAAAGTTCGCAAAAGCGGCTTCATTCGTCTCAGGAAATAACATGCCATATAGCACACTCACACCCAAAGGCCGGCAATTACACAAAGAACAACAACTTGATTTCGAGTTGGCTGCCAGGCAAACATAGAGATAATTAGAGCATAGTTAATCATTGCAGCTACTATAAGCAATGTAAACTAGACCAATGTACTTTGGATTCAACGGAATCAGAAGCAGCTGTGTAATATTTTTCATATGCTTCACGCTAGAAAGAACTAGCTTGACTGATTTGCGGATCAACATTGAGATATTTTCTTATAGTATATAAACACAAATAATCGAGGTTAGCAAAGGCATGAGCTTCTGCAGTACCTGCTGTTTCAACTTGTCGATGATTGAGGAAGGTGAACAGCAATAGAATCGACAAAGCACATATGCAAGTATAAACGATACAAAGAGTATGAAACTAGAAAACATAATATCTCATAGAGATGATCGAGCAAGCTCTTGAAAAAGACTAACTGTTGTTTCATCAACTAGTGGGCCCGTCATTCATTCGTTATATTCTTGTTCGCTGAAATGAGCGCCACATTTATCGTACTGTAGAGAACTATTAAATATTGTTAAATTGGTATTAATATTTCGCTCCGGGGTAAGAATCAAAAATGCAACAAGACTGCCCCATATTTGAGCTAGATATCGTATCAACAATAGAATCAAGAGCGAACAGATATAGAAGATACTAACCGACCTGATTGAAAGCTCATTACCCATAAACTGACTCACAGTGACATCTTTATTGACGAATGCTGCTTGAGCATAGATACATGCTAGGTCTGTTACATAGCTGTATGCTGAGGTCCATAGAGGGCCCGCAACCAGGCCAACAATTACAGCAGCTAAGTACACAGCTCTTATTTGCAATCATTACATAAGTCGCCACATTGTAGTTGGCCAGTGCGTTCACACCAATATCATCGATTGTGTTGATCGAACTTTGAAGATTTTTCATGTCTGAGAAGGCACTGAGCTGTAGAAGGAAACTCCGAGACAGGACGAGCACATTTTTATATGTAGAGAAACGAATATTTTCTGTTGTTTGTTCCAATAGCGATATCTGATCATTGTTATCGACGCTCTTTTGATTAGCCACTGATTGGCGTTTAATATCTGAGTTTGTCGACATTGCTTATCTGAAAAGATGTTTTAGAGCGAAGATAGATATTTATTAGCATGCTAATGGGAGAAATGTGTTAGTTAGACGGCGATGTTATAGTTAATATATCTCACATAGACTGTCATTTTCGGTCAAGCTCGAATACTGTGCGAGAAAAGTTTTTGATAAAGAGGTACTGCTTGATCATAGATTGGAACCAATTCGTTGGGAATATCTGCCTTTGTTTTTCTAATGGATGGTAATGGAACAAAACCGGTGGAGGAATGCACATCTTTGTACCAAGCTTCTGACCAAATACCATCTGCAGGATTAGGACCTCTTGGCCATGATAACATTTCATGGGTAAATGGCAAATTTAATTGGCGACATACTTGTGTTAATACTGACAGTGGATTCTGTCGTAATTCATTGCCATCAATGACAGGTGGATCTTCTTTCAACATTGTTTTGAACCGATCGTATAACTCAATTTGATATTCTAAACAAAGATCTTCTGCAGTGACTTTTGGATATATCTTTGCATGTGATATGATTGTATCGATAGGATCACGAATAAGAAATAACGGCTGATAATTTAATATACGCAAGTTGTTCATATATTTAACTGTATTTGCCATATTTTTAACAAAAACATTACCTTTGATTTTCTCTTTTGCCTCAATGAGATCGTGAATTTTATTTTGATCATTACATTCCATTGATTGGGCAATTTCGTCAAAAAACGGTTGTGGTTCGTTGAGTTGTGTTAACCACAGGCCATAAAACGGCTCATCGATGGCAGTCGTGTCTGGCCGTTGGCTGAAAGAATACATAAGTGCCGTCGAACAATTTCTTGGACCGGATATGAGATAGATTATCATTGTTTTGAATCGGTAGTACCAAAAACTTAATTTTTGAGGACAAAGGTTCGATATTGACACTCAGTTGCACATTTATTTATATGTATCTTCTATCTTACTGATGGTTGATTACCAAATAATTCGTGCTTTTTTTATGAAAAGCTTTTCGTATGGTTGATTAGTTGATGTTATAAATATTCCTTTTTCGCTATGCACATTTCTGTTGTCATAGGACAAAGTATGATAAAGAATGTTTTGGTTCGATGATCACTACCACGTTTATAGCTTAACTGTATGATCCTTTCATCAAGTACTGACTTTCTTCTTTTTTATACTTAATATCTCCTATACATCTATATTCAGTACTATATTATAATGTAAAAATCAAGTGAATTACAGTAGTGGAGTAACAACTTTACGTTGAATATTCGAAACAATCGACAGGAAATGACATGCGAGAGACTGTGGTAAACCAAATTTGATACTTTCATTGTAGAAATCATCGATCGATTACTGTTCGTCGGTTAAAGATTCAGCATTCATAATATGCAGTAGGGTGCAAAAAAAATTGCCGATAAATTTTCACAAGTCGTTGCCATTTATTTACTATTAAATAGAAATTTATTTTTTCGTCGATATTCCATGGTCTTCGTTTCTCTACATGTCATTTAAATATAGATCAAAGATTTTCAATTGGGTTAAGATCAGGCCTATTACTTGGTCGGTCGATTGTTTCGTTATTCTACTGGTATGTTTTAGATCATTATCTTACTGATATCGCCATCGACGACTATAAGTTATTTCCTTGAGTTACGAATGAGATGCTTTCGAAGTATTTCAACTTAAAGGCAACCGTTCATTATTGTTCGAAAAGTATAGCATTGCAACAGACCTTTAGCACTAAAGGCATCCCACACTATAATTTTCTGTCTATTCTTTGGAATTCTTTTTGTTTCTTTGTCAGTGGATTTCCGAATAATTGATTAGATGTTTCATCAGAGAATACCGTTCGACTCCAATCATTATCCTTATGTGTCAACGCCCATTGAATATGCCATTCGTTTTGTTCATTTGTTAACATTGGAGTTCCTTATGACCTAATCGACGTAGATGACGACGCACCGTGTATTGGGAGACAATCGAAACTTTCTTTGTGTGAACCTTGGCCAAATTACACTGAATAGTACCGCGATAGGTATATCTATTTGTTGAGCAATTTCAGCAGCGCAATGATAGCCTATATTGTATAATATCACCGATCGATGTGTCGACAGATATCTGTTCGTAACTTTGAAGGTCATTCTTATTGAACTGATAGAAATTTAGAAAATGATGATATATGTTATCATAAATATATAGTGTCTACCCTACATGCTCAATATAGTTCTAGAACATTCATCTTGTAAGATGGAATCAAAGAATCGTGGAATGTTCATATGCGTGTCGGCAGTATTTTTTTGCACCCTACTGTGTACCATTCGATCATGTTTCTCAACGAATTCAGTTAGGATAACAAGATCACTATGAGCAATATCTAATTTGAAAGGTTTCTATCACGCTCAACTGGATTTTCTAAAGCTTACTTTCTGTGTCGATCCACATGAAGCAAACTTATTCGATCGTATCAAACGATGAGTATCACTTCGACAATGATTACTCGTAAATTGTGTTGGACGAAGCACAACAAATGAACGTTTTTCTTTGACTTCACAGATTGTCGACTATATACTCGACATTTTCCTTTAAACATCAGCGAAAAACGTTTTTGTCAAATTCCAAGTGATATAAATATATGTGAAATTCCAAATCTAGTGATTCAAGTAACTAATATAAACTGCATTCTTTTCGTATTCACCTTTTATTCATGTGAACCAAACAGAATACTTTTATCTTCGAAAATATCAGTCTCCTTTTCGCGTTGTCAATTATAAAGCCTTACAACATCTATCTTTTTGTGCAAGATGGTCAAATACGGAAACACTGTATACGCAACATTTAAATCATTCACATGTGTCATCGTTCATCGATTCAACCAGTTGACGAAGATACTTCAACGGCTCTATTTTGTTGACGATTGATGATCGACAAAGCAATAAAAATAATCAATTTTGACAACATTCGCAAAAGAATAGTTAAACTACCAAACAAACCAACAATAGTCGTTACAATATAAAATATATCAAAATATTGAGTAAATGAATAAGTACAAGAAGCCGAATGACATTGTTCATAATACTTTTCATACGAATAATTCACATTCCATTCATTCACAAATAAACGATCAACCATATCTTGAACAGTTTCAGTCATTGGAAAAGCATTTGTTAACAAAGATGAATTAAGTATTTGAACATCATCATCGCCTGCTGGTATTTGTTTTCGAAAAGAATTGATAATTAAATTCACGCATTCTCGCTTGTATAAACATTCAAGTGTCCATTGTAACAATGCTTCATGCACATAACAACCAATCAACATGCCAGTTAACGTTGAATTGACATTCTCATTGAGTTGAACTCGTTCTGTGCATTTCGATGAAGTTGCACAATTACACGATTCGCCATACCATCTTGGATTTGTGTACATCGGTGCCAAATCATATATATTTACCACAGTAAATTTCCAATTGGTTTCATACGGTGTTATGAATGCATTGCCATGAATGAAGCCACTAAGCACAGTTAGTGCCTGTTTGAATGTTTGCGGAGCCGACTTTTTAAATGAACTTAAGATTGTATCGATCTGGATCTGAAAGAGTTCAGGAGATATCAATTGATCACTGGTGAATTTTGTTGCTTGAAACTGAACAAGACTATTATTGACTGTTTCTTGTGCCTGTTTACATAACGATGAAAGAACTTGAAACTGAACTGAAGCAACGGCATAAAAACTCTTTTCATAAGTTCTATTCTCATTATATAAGTATTCGATCCATTGTTGAGTAACAAAGTCAGATGAGCAAATCTGATGATAAGATGGATTTAGTTTGATAAATCGGCTGTACGTAACAGAAATGTCCGAACATGGACAACTGAGTGTTGCGGAATATTTGTTGCGTAGATTGTTATATTCATCTAAATTATTCAATTGTACTTTGACAGTGATCAGTTTTTCATTGATTAACGTATAGAATAGAAGACTTGCAAATGTAATAATTGAGATTATCAAATAAAATCTTGTTGTGTACAATTGTCGTTCGATTGTTGGGTTATTTGCTGCTTGAGTTCGAAATAAGTTGAAGTTGATTAGTTTTGCTTTGATTGTTAGAAAACCTTGTCGAATACGACTGGTAAACGATACTTCTAAAGACAATTCATCATTATTCAGGAGAAAACAGCCATATTTTCTTTCCTAGCAATAGATTTATATCATTCGACTAGTGAGTAGCTGATAGTATCATACTTTAGACGCACATTCCTATTCTCACTTTCTATTATTTCTAGCAGAAATAGTATGTGTTCGATGCATTACCTCCTCTTTCTCCTTTCTTTCGTTTGATAACATTCACAAGAATTGGTACACATATCTTTAATATCATTGACAGGCCTCCATAGATAGCAATTAACTTTGTTAATACATCAAAACGATTTTCGTTTTCTTCTTTTGTATATGAACAATAAGATGGTTGACATTGATTATAGTATTGATTATAAAAGTACAACGCATTCCAATCTTCGATAAATAGATTATTAACAATTATATCCATTGTTGTATTTGGCTGATATGAACTTAGAATAGACGAATTTAATGCTTTTAAAAGCTTATGTAATGGATGCGCCGTTAACATAAAAGATTTTAGTGTATTGATACAATAGTTGCTGAAAAAACATTCTGTTGTTGATAATAACACGGAGTCAATAAACAGACACCCTTGATATATTCCCATTAGACGATATGTTCTATTGTCGTCGTATATGGTCAATGGTTGTTTACATGATGGATTAGTCGCACAAGAACATCCTTGAACTGAAAGTATCATCGCGTGACTTTCTGTATTGTTATTGTAATTTATGACCGATAATATGGTGTTTGTTTTTCGTTGATTAAGAAATTGATTTGCAGAAAGAATTCGTCGAATCAGATTGATGCGAAGTTGAAATGCTTGTTGTGTTGTAATTGTGAATAGTTCAATGAACGAAGTTACTTCACTTTTGAAGATGTCAGAGGAAACCACTTCGGATGTGAGATATTCATTTTGTTTGAAGGTAGTTAAACTAGTGGTTACCAATTCGTTTGCTGCTTCACATAGAATTACTAAAAATTCAAAGAAAAAATCTGATACGAAACGAAAATTATCCGAATTATAATTTGATGTATCGCTCCAATACCAATTTTTCAGCCACAGAGTAGAACTAAACACACTTGAACAAATTGGATGATATCGCGGCTGAAGACTAAGAAATGTATCATATTTAATGGAGATATCGCTGCACGGGCAAAAGAGATTATTAACTGAAATATTTTCAAGTTGTTCAAATTGATTTTGTGTTGGGTTTTTAATAGTGATGAGTTTTGTTTGTTTTTCCAATAGTAAATACACGCCAAAAATAGTTAATAAGATTGGCAGTAAAACGCAATAGATTCGTGTTGATAAGATTTGATTTCGTTTGGAGCGTTCATCACTTGACGAGCTATTGAAAAGATTATATTTCTTGAAGAAATCCCAGATTGATCTTATTGATTGACTGCAACAAGTTTCGATCGATACTAATCAAAGAATAAAATAGAATCGAATCAGAAATATCATAGCGATAGGTAACTCGAGCTGTAGAGGATTGATGATCGGTTTAATTGTGATTCGCCAGTAACGCAGAGGAAGGTTCTTGGAAGTTATAGCTCGTATTACAAATAAATGAGTTTGATCGTTAACAGATTTCCTTTCTCAAAGTGACAAACGAAAAGTGCAATTTAAACGTATTAGTGAGGAAACGTCCTTTTTGCGACTGAAAATCGTTTTTTTAAGTAGAGATCAAACTTACGGTTTGATGAATTATTGTCTGTATTTGTTTGACGATGTTGACAATTTTTCAACACAAAACCAGCAAGGAACAAAATGATGGGCGACAAAACAATTCTCAATCCACCATACAAGCTAATAGTTGATGTCACAATCACACTCCAACTTTCTCCCACTTCATTGGTGTATTGACAATACAATGGTTGACACTCATCAAAGTAATCATCAAACGACCGATTAGTAATCCATTTTTGAATAAATAAACTATTCACCAATGTCTCATAAGTTGTGTTCACTGTTGATAATGATTGATTCAATTTAGAAAATGAACTGATTTTTGTTGATGTATAATTTATGTGCGTACCAATCGAAGTCAAGCATGAATCGTCATATAAACATTCCGTTGTTGAGTGAAATAGTGATTCACTAGGAACACAACCGGTACGCATACCAGGTAAGAGAAATGTTGCATTAATATGCCAAGTCTTCCAGTCGCGTGTTGTGTCACCTTCTGCAGAGTTTCCAGCAACATCGTATCGATCCATATTAGCATAAATACCTTCTGGTAGCGTGCAGATGAATGGTGTCATACAAATACAACTGAAATATGCATTCCCAACTTCATAATAAATAGTCACATATAAGTCGGTCGATGTCTGATCGCCGCTCACACGCCAGAAAGCATTAAGCAGTGCTCCTGTTCCAGACAGAAAATGTTGACGCGTAAGTACTAGTCGATTCAAATTGAATACATCCAGGAATGACGGCGGTGTTGTTCGTTGAAAAAAATTAATGAGCGAATCTGTTTGAATGTCAAATGTTTCCATGGGAAGCAGCTCTTGCGTAATCAACTGATTGGAATAAAACTGAATTAGATCATAATCAATCGTGTCTTGTACTTGTTCGCAGAATAAACGAAGAAGTTGGAATTGGCCTAAAGCACTTCGACGAAAATCAAGTTGGAAATAGTAAGAGCTATTGTTGTAGAACAAATAATCAATCCAACGTTGACTGATAAAATCCGACGAGCATATTTGATGGTAAACTGGTGAAATGTGAAGAAACTTTTCATAGGGAATAGAAATTCGTTCACATGGACATCGTAACGTATCAGGATACTGTTGAATCAAATCTTTATATTGTTCTATAGTTGGTTTAGTGATAGTGATTGTACTTGTATGGGTAACTGCCGTTGCATAAAAACTATATGCATATAAGATGATCATAAGTACTATTAGATAGAATCGAGTTGCTAAAACTTCTTTTTTCTTGACTCGTTGATCATCTGTTTCTGTGTTGTAAACATTCTGATTCAGAATATATTCACGCAGTGGCTGATATTTGATCATCTTATTCTTTGTAAGTATCGTATGATGTCTAAAGCATAATAACCTATTTGTCATTGCATCAATATGAAGATTTGAGTGAAAATATTATGCTTAGAATTGGTACGGATTAGTTGATGAAGCTCGAAGTCTGCTCAGCAATGTCATATCTTTTTAGGTACTTTCTCAAATCAAACAACAATCGAGGTCATATATATGATATTACTGCAGTTTATTAATAATTTATCATTCCTGACAAACTAGTGAAGCATAACAGCTGTTGCTCAATCTTACAGCAATACGAAGATAATGAGAAAAATAATATTGAAAGTTCATAGTAACCAAAAAACTAGGGAGAAAGAGAGAAGATATTTTATCCTACCAAGGTGGCTGTAAACGAGAACAATTCAAATTTCTCGAGTATTCTATGATTCTTGAATGAATGTTGCATTTGGTTACGCCAGGCGAAGCGAACACTGTGTGATGATCTTTAACTTAAGTTGTATTCTATGAGAACAATTTGAAAATGAAAAAATACGAATCGCGCTATGAAAAAATATTACTAATAACTTCGAAACATGTTATACAGTTTTCAACATAGGCACAAAAAATACAGTACCTGCAACATCCGACCCTGTTAATCAATATTACAGATGTGAAACAAAAAAGAATAAACCAACTGTTACAGAATATAGGAGTTGTTTTTCCTCTGTATAGATCATTTCTCTCTCTCTTTCTCTCTCTCTCTCTGTCTCAGAAAAGAGAGATGTTCGGTTGGCTGCTGTTGTGTATGGAGCAATCAGCATAATATAATGTTCTTTTCTCATCGAGAATAAAATTCACCAGCGAACCGTAACACATTAATTACATTTCTATCGAATACAGCAAGTATCTGTCAACAAGATGCATATCATAAGAATTATCATTGAATTGACAATTATGACTCTCGTGTTCGGAATGTTGCTTTTCTCGTTTGTTTATTTTACCAAGAAACTCAAACAATCAACTTCAGACACAGGTATGTCTCGTTTAGTTATTTAAGAATATTTAGTTGTGTCTGTGTGACAATGATATTTCTTGTATATATCAAAATCTATTCTTTTCTTTTCTTTCAAAGGTGATTTAAAACGCAAAACATCTGTTACGACGACCATTAGTTTGACAACTACAGGTACAGCACATGTATAATTTCATTGACGAAATTGTAGCAAGCGAATGATTTATTTAAATAGTTTTTAAAGCAAATCGCATTTAGAAATGAAGGCTCGAGATTTCCTATCGTAAAATGAGTTGTTGTTCTTACTGACTATTCTTTGTTGACAGAGAATGAACTCAAGTTCGACGGCAAAATGAAATAAAGTATTGATTTCTATAAATACTTCCATAGTTATGAACAACAAGCGTAGCGAGAGGAAAGTTGAAAATAGTTCGTCTACATCCTCTCCTCTTCGTTTTCCTTCTTACTCTCTATCAATCTTAGTTCATAGATTTAAAAATAATTACAAACAATGAAAATTTCATTTTCTGTTTCTCATATCCAATCACTTTAATATTAGTGCAATCAACTTACTCATCTGCCTTGGACACGACCAGTTCAATATATATTCGATCTGACGGTCCTTCGCCATTATCAATCTATTTCTATCAGGCTATCGAAATCAATGTAACAACTACGGGAATATATACTCTTTCATCTAAAGCTGACATGGACGTACAAGGCTTTCTCTACAACGGCAGTTTCAACACCTCATTTCCTGATCACAATTTAATTTTATTCGTCGATGACTCTACTGATGACTTGCAATTTATACTAGCAAATTGTTTTCAACAAACAATAAAATATACTCTATTTGTCACCACTTATGAAGCGACTACAATAGGATCTTTTGCAATTACTGCATCTGGTCCGGCAATGATTGCATTTTCGAAAAGTAAGCAAAGCTCATCAAATTTCATTTGAAACTATGAAAGAATATTCTGTGATCACTGAGCGAATAGTATCGTGCATCTATGATTGTACAAATTCACAGCTTCTGTATCCACACAACACGAAAGATAATAATATCTTTTATTTTTTAGCCGAAGGCCCAAGAACGGAATTGCAAGTAACCTCAAATTATTCGTCATCTTTAACAAGCAATAGTGAATCTTATACTAGGCCAACTACGCCGCATGGATCAATCTTTTATTATCAAGCCATTGAAATAAGCGTATCGGTGACAGGAATTTATCTTATTCAGTCTAATAGTCATTTAGATACGTACGGCTATCTTTACGATAATAATTTCAATCCTACAAGTCCAAATGAAAATATTCTTTTATCAAATGATGATGGTGGTGGTAATCAACAATTCTTACTTACGATTGTTCTTCAAGCCGTGCACAAGTATATTCTGATTGTAACAACATATGGTGTAGGTGTCACAGGAACATACTCGATCGTAGGCTTAGGTTCAAATACAATCCTTTTTTCATCAGGTAACAAAATGTATGAAGAAATCAATGTCATTTTCTCTCATCATAAAGAGATCAGTGCATTTCTTGATGGCCAAACATTTTTATGCTCATTTTGCATTAACTGCTTGACAATGTATACATTTGTATTCAAATACTCCTCCTAACTCACTTAAATCTCCTAATAATTTTGCTTAATTTATGCTTGTAGAAGTTTTTCTCTTTCTATAGCTAATAGAACGGTAATTCAATCAAACTATTCATCCTATTTAACAATCTACAGTCAATCATTCGTTCGTCCATATGCGCTAACACAATCAGCATATTATTATGAGGCTATTGAAATTCGAGTATCAGTGACAGGATTGTATGGTATTCGATGTCATAGTCTCGTGAATACATATCTCTCTCTATACAATACGACTTTTAATCCTGCAGCACCATATGAAAATCTAGTCTACTATGATGATACAAGTGGAAACAGCGGCCAATCCACGTTCACATATGAATTTGAAGCTATGATAAAATATATTTTAGTTGTAACAACTTATGACCCAGGAGTGAGTGGACTGTTATCACTAGATGGATTTGGTGATGGATCGATTAATTTTGTTCCAGTAAATATGTTCAGTGAGTGCTCGCATATACTCAACGAAGAGAAGTTTTCAATTCTTTTTCTCTTCATGAATTTAGATGATTCATCGAAAGTCGAATCGATGTATTCATCATCTTTGACAACGAACAGTCCATTGTTTTGTCGTCAAGGTGTTTGTCCACAATCAACATATTTCTATGAAGCCATTCAACTCAATGTATCAACAACTGGAAAATACATGTTTTTGAGTTCAAGCCTTATGGATACGTATGGATATTTGTACGACAATGATTTCAATGCTTCTTTTCCAGCCTTACATAAATCAGCTGCAAATGATGATGCCGGTACCAATCATCAATTTATGTTAGTAGTTGTTCTGGAGTCTATGAGAAAGTATATTTTGGTTGTTACAACATACTATCAAAATGTAACGGGATCTTTCTCAATCTTATGTTTGGGCAACGATCATGTCAATTATGTGAATCTCCAACAACCTTGACACCATCATTAAGATTTTTCAATATTTTTTCTTGTCGTTTCGCTTTTTACAATTTTCAAGAACTTCTTACATAAATATTTCAACTATATTCTATCCATTTCAAACATAATCTAATCTCTTTATTAATAATCTTCATATTAACACTTTTTATTGAAATGCTGCAGCATTTTCTTTTATCCACTCTTCAAGCGTATGCAATGGTCGACCGAGTATTACAGATAACTGTGGAGTAACTAATTTAGGTTGAATACCCGAAACATTCGATAGGAAATGATATACGAGAGCATGCGGTAAACCAAATTTGATACTTTCATTGTAGAAATCGTTGATCGATTGTTGCTCATAGGTGATTGTTCTGCCAAGAACTTTAGTGAAAATTTG